GTTCCAGAATGTTGGCTGCGCGTTGGCTACCCAGGAGATGTGGAAGCCAGGCGGGGAGGAGATCGTAGACACCTACCACAGACTGCCGGAACAGAGCCGCTCGTAGGCGAAGATGTGTGGAAGAGCCCCTGCCGACCCCCGAGCTGCACTCTGTGATCGCCACCCAGCAGGCAAGTGTATGATTAAGGGGCTGCTTTAGGATGGTGAGGTTATGGATTCTTGCTAACATTTTATTATAAACATTTTCAAACTCACAGCAAAGTTGAAAGTCTAGGGAATACCCATATGCCCAAATGGGTTACTTTAACATTTTAAGATTTTTTATTTCTTTGTCAGAGAGACAGGAGGAGAGTGAAACAGGGCAAGCACAAGCAGGGGGAGCGGCAGACAGAGGGAGAAGCAGGCTCCCTGCGTAGCAAGGAGCCCGATGCGGTGCTCAATCCCAGGACCCAGGGATCATGACCTGAGCCGAAGGCAGACGCTTAACTGACTCAGCTATCCAGGTGTCCCTACCTCAACATTTTTATACATTTCTGTATTGTCTACAATGAGTGCACACTGTTGAAATAACTGAAATAAAGGAACAGGCATTATAAAAACATCTCTGCTGCCTGGTATGGGGTGCTGGTGCATGGAGAGGCCACAGGAAAGGGTCAGTTTTGCGTTGTTCATCGTCTGTGACAACATGCGAGCTGGCTGGCATCTCAGAGGCGCGGGCATGCTGCCGCTCACCTTCCTGGGCTGCAGGCTCGTGCAGCAGGAGTTTTGTGAACGAGGGTCCAACCCACCAGTCTCTAAACTCACACCCTGAAATAAAGGCAGATTTGTCTAACCAGTGACAACAGAGCTGTAGCTCCCTAATTGCGAGTGAGGACACTGTCATTTACAGCCAGAATTACAAAGTTTTTGAAAGAGAAAAAAAAAAGACATACTACTGTTATTACTTCTGGATACATAGACACTGGAAGAAAATTAATGCCATGGGTCACAAGAAGAGCCCCTGGAGGACCAGCTCCTTTTTCCCCCTAAGGTTGACCTTTGCGGGGGGTCCCAGAGTGGCCAGGGAAGCTCCGTGAGGGGTACTCACACCCCCTTCCACCCCCAACTGTGTACTTTGGCCTCTCAGGGTCCAGGAATCCCTATTCGTGGGGACAGAGGCCACACCATGAGGCCAGGATCTACTCTGAGAAGTATCTGGGAATTCAGAGGGAGGACTGAGGAGAGCTTGCCCGGGTGGGTGAGAGCTGACCCGAGTACTCCAGCCCTTGCTCACGGGCTGGCTGGGGCTGGTGTGCTGGGAGCCCTGCCTCCCCAAAGTCTTGCTCTGATTACTGTCTCACCCCAGGGCCTGTGGGGCATTGCAGGGCAGGGCAGCCGGCACCCTCACCAAGGCCCGGGTCCACATAACAAGAAGGAAACGACAACCTTCAGGGTGGCTGGAGCAGGGAGCCTGACCTGCTGTGGTTAGCTCACTGAGCTGAGCCCCAGCAGGACTGCTTGCTGCTGACTCTAGGCCAGGTGCTGGTGGCCCAGGACCCATGCCTGACAGCACCCAGCAGCCCAGGCCTGCTGTTCTCACTGGCCTGCTGGACTTGGAAAGGGCGGCTTGTACACCAGGCCAGCTCTGGGGAATGGAGCTCATGCAGTAAAATGACCAAGCACTGAATCCAGATGGGGGATTTACTGCCTCACAAAAATGCAAGTCTGATTTTTAGCTCTGATTCCCTGAGATTGCCCTCTGTGGGGCCGGTGGCCGCCTCCTTCCTGTGACAGGAAGAGGCCCACAGGTGCAGCTCCCCAGGGGGAGCAGCTGACTGGCTGGCTGGCTGGCTGTCAGCTGGGTCACCCTTCCTCTCTGAGCCAGGATCCTCATGTGCACCCTCAACAGGGCCTGGCTGGTGAGCAGTGCAGGCCGAAGGGAGAGGGAGCAGAGTGGGAGGGAGAGGTGAGGCCCTCTCAGTGCTGGCATGGGCAGTGGGAGGATGGACAGGAGGAGATGGGCCAGTTCCTAGGCAGTACAAGAGTGAACCAGCACCTGACACAGCGAACGGACTGTCCACTGGCTCTGGCCATGACTTACCTCCCTGCACCACACCCAGTGCCGCGGGAGCAGGCCCCACGTGGCACCTGCAGCAGAAACCTACATCACCAGATGCTGAGCTGGCAGTGGCAGGCTGGGGAGCCCCCTCTCCGAATGCATGGTAGAAAATGCCTGCGTAAGGCCATCCCTTTCTTAGGTAACGTGTTCACAGAGCAGCTGTGATCAACTGACTCTGCTTCCAGAAATACCTGGGTCTGTGATCAGGGGCTGTGAGTGCAGGCATGGCCACTTTCCGCCCCTCCTCCCAGGACAGGTAGAGCCCTCGGCTGACACAACCCTTGGCGAAACACCAGAATGGGAGCTCTGGGGTAAGCCAAGTCTGACCGAGCCCCTCATCGACCACACAGTGACCTGTGGGGGCAGCTGGAGAGGATGGGGGGTGGGGGTGGCTTGTGCAGAGAGATAAAAGACTGGCCCAAGACCACCTGGCCCCTGAAGGCTGAGCTGTGCTTGGGCAGGGCCTGAGCAGCAGGGCCTCCACCCACGTGCCTTGCCGTGCCCCTCCAGCAGGGGGCGCAGCACACTAGGCTGGCCTGCCGCACCCACCTCTGGCGAAGTGAGGAGGGCCTCCTTGCCTCACCCCATGAGCTAAATTCCTCCAGTGGGAAGGGAGTCTGGCTACAGGGAGCAGCACTCACATGGGCCCCCAGGTGACTCCTCAGGCTTAGGAAACAGCAAGGAAGTGCCGAGGAGGAAGCAGCCCAGGAAATGTTTTATAGCCAGGTGTGGCTGTGTGACTAAGTCTGGCCATCTGGATGTGTGTGGAGACAGCTTCCTCCCCCTGTTCTCCTGCTGGCTGGAATGTGGATGTGCCTGCAGAGCGCCAGCAGTTATCTTGGATCGTGAGGCAGAAGCCCTACTCTTTGGGGATGGTGGGACTGACAGAACCTGGGTTCTCGGTGCTTCCTGTGGCTGCACCATCACTCGGGCCTGCCTACACTGGGCTCCTTTTCAAAGGGAGGGGAATAAATGGCTACTCTATTTTGGTCTCTGAACCTAATCCATCTATTCAGGGCCAAAGCATAAGGACTGGGGCGTGATCAGAGGGTAAGCTCCTGGGGTGGGGCCAGCCAGGTCTGGGGTGGGGCCCGGGGTGTCAAGGGCTCAGTAACGACTGAATTAATTAATTTGGTGAACCTCAGTGCTTTACCATGGTCATCCTGGACACTCAGAGACATCCGGTGGAAGGAAGTATTCCCACTTCACAGATGAGGAAACCAGGCCCACAGAGGTTAAACAGCAAACCTAGCCACCGAGCTGGCTGCTGGTGGTGCTAGAGTTCGAGCCCAGGCCCACCTGGGCCCAGACCGTAAGTGCCTGATGAGAACTGCTTCCCCACAGAGCCCCAGCCCCCAGAAGGCATGCACATGTCGCCCGGCAAGGCTGGCCCCCAGCCACCTGCTGACCACTCACCAAACCATAGGCCAGGAGCGGTGGTAGTTTTTAAAGTAAACTATGAACACAATTTCCAATCCCTTTCCTTTAAAGTACAGTGAGCTCATTAAGAGTCAGAGCGGTCTTCGTAAAGAAAAATACCTATCCAGACCAGCAGCTAGGATGCACCGACACGGAGCGCTACGCTTCACACGGCCGCTGTGACTGTCCTCCTGACACGGTTTCCCTGGGGCGCCGGTCACGGGGAGCAGACAGAGCCGAAGCCCTGGACTTTGGTCCGGCCCGGGCAGTACCTTGCTCTCCGCCGGTCCTGCAGGGCCCTCCAGCTCCTCCTGCCTGAGGCCAGATGGCCACTGACACTGCCACAGGCAGGGAGCTGTACTGTGTCCCCTGCCGGGAAGCCTGGTGGGTGGAGACCTGTCCCTCCAGGGCTGCGGGATGCATGGGTGGCGGGCGTGACTCTCATAGGGCAGAGGCAGGGAGCAGCGGGCGTGACTCTCACAGGGCAGGGGCAGGGCTGCCATGAGTCCCCACGCCTTCCCCATTGCTGTCACACAGTCCAGCTCCCAGGGAGAAGTCCGTGCCCCGAGGAGTCCCCACCGGACGGAGGAAGAGGGCCCAGCTAGAGGCCCTAAGTGTGCCCAGGGTACACGAGCCACGTGGGCTCACAGTTCCAGACAGGCCTCTCTGACCTTGCCCCCACCAACTTCCAGGGTCTTTGGGATCAAAGGTCTTGAAGACAGGCAGGGTGTGTAGGGGAGTGGTGGTATGGCTCCCCACGCTGTGCACGCCCCACACCCCAGGGGCTGGTTTGCACACCTCAGTCTGGTGCTGGGCCCTTCCTGTTTAGGAGGAGTTGTCAGAACGAAAGGACACAGAAGCAGAGCTCTTGTGTGGGGGTGTCAGCAGGCCAGGGTGACAGGGGCTGTCTGACCAAGGACCAGTGGAAACTGAGGACAGGGCCTTCCAGCAAGCATCCTCCTTCCAGGACCTTCCTCAGGCATCCCCTGCCTGCAGGTGTGTGCACTGACTCCTCTAAGCACATGGGCACCCCTGACTGCCAGTTCTTGCCTGCTGCCGGCTCAAGCTGAGTGAGGTCCTGCTCCCCACAGGGAGTGGTACTGGGAGCTGACAGCCCCCACCCCTTCTCTTCATCGCGTGCCCCCAGGTAGGCTTCCTGGTTAGGAGGCTGGGAATGTCAAGGGGAGACTGGGGTGAGATGGAGCTCTCTGCATTCAGGTTGATTTGGTCAGAGGCATCCTCATGGAGGGAGCTGCTCCAGTATCAGACTCTGCTGGCTCTCTCCCCTACTATGAGGCCTGGGGAGAGTGAAGACCCCTCTGAGCCTTACCTACCACCTCCTGGACCTCCCAACCTCCTGTAAAGTCCTGGTAAAAAGGCTGTCGGTAAAAGAGCGTTACAGCCGGGATGGTGAGGAGCCTCGAGCCCAGTCAGATGCACAGAGTGCAGGCAGGTACAAGAGGTGGGAGCCTGGTGACCTCACCTTTCTGCCTCAGGGCTCAGCACCCCGTCCTGGGCTCCATGGTCCCCTCGGTCTTCTTCTTTTCTCCTTCAAAGGAGCACCTGCCGCATACAGGACGAGTACAGCTCTGCCCTCCTGTAGCACTGGAAGGGCTGGAAGAGTGGCCAGTGCCCGGAGTGGAAAGGGTGGATGCCTAATCCCAGCTCCGGGTCTGATGGGGCCTCTGAGGTGTGACATCTGAAGGACAGGGAGGAGCAAGCATTCCTGACAAATCTCCAGAGGAAGAGGAGGTGGGATGGGGAGGGCAGCGCACAAATGCAGAGGGGAGTTCGTGATTTCAGTAAGGGAAGGACACTGTTTTTAAACAGTGGGAAAAATAAAATTTCTGTTCAGAAATTCCAAGTTGTTGACAAAATGTGAAGAAAAACAAGTGGGTTAGTTTGGGCTTAGGAAATACCTCAACAGCCCCTTCCTCCTCGCCTGACAACATCTGTAGCAGAGGAAAATATTCCCTCGTTTACAAACAAGGTTAGCCAAGCTTTAGGAAAGTAGAACAGGCGACCTCAGCCCCCTGGCTCTGTGGCACAGAGAATGTGAGGCACTGGCTGGGCAGGCACCATGCCCCTGGTTGGACCCCAGAGCAGTGCATCCTGGAGCCTGAAGCCCTCGCCTTCTTCCTTGGGGCAACTGACCAGGGAGTGGGGCCCCATGCCTGGGGAAGCCCAAGCTTTTTTCCCCAAGGCCCCTGACCTTTGTGATCCCGTGGGCCTCTCACCAGGCCCCTGGGAGGTCTGGGGGACAGGAGGTGACTTACCCATCAGGCCAACATGCTCTGTGGGGTGCCACACCCACCACACCTGAGCTGCCACAGATTGCGGGAAGGTCCTACACCAGGGCTGGGGTGCCATGAGGGGCCCTCCTGGCTCCAGCCTGTGTGTTAGTCACTCTCCATTCTTGACCAGGGATGATCCCCCTTCCCGGTAAAAGCATCTCAGGGGACACATCTAGGACCTGCGGCTGGGGGTGCTCTGCCGAGGACGTCTGGTTAGGGCTGCTTTCCCTGGAGATGCACTTGCCAGCTACGTGCAGGGCTACGTGCCACTGTGCACAGTGAGGGCGCAGGAGACCCCCAGCAGGCCTCTTGCTGGGGAGCCGTTCTCCTGACAGCGCTGACACCGGAGGTGTCCGGGGGCTGGACAGTGAGGGCTGGGGTGCCAGGCCCACAAGTGCCTCTCCTGGCAGGCGACCAGAAAGGCTGTGGCTGCTCGGGGCTCTGGAAGCCCCACCCTGGCGGGGGGGGCACGTCCTCCCAGCAAGGCCAGGCTTGGGGCTGCTCTCCACCAAACCAAGTGTGGACCTTTCCGGAGAGCTCTTCTCCCATGAGCAAAGGACTGGCTGATGGCATCATGGGAGACTGCCTGCTATCCCCCAACCAGTCACGGCCGGGGTCAGCCCCAGCCCTGGACTCTTGCCTGAGCAGCACAAGTGGTGCTCTGCTCCGGGGGTGAGAGCCACCTCCTCACGTCTCCTTTTGCCCTCCCAGGCAGTGCTCCAGCGAAGTTGGGGCTGACCAGCAGGTGACCCCAGCCAGGCCTCCAGACCCCACCGTGCTGCTCACGGTGCACGGTGGCTGCCCCTTCATAACTCATGCCTGCCTGCCTGGCACTTCCTGGCTTCTGACACCCAGCAGGTGAGACTTCTGCCTGAACACACACACTCACACCTCGGGGTAAAGGGAAGGTGACTGTGCCCTACTCCTTCCCTGGGTGGGGCCGTGTGCTTGCTGACTCAGCCCGAGACCTGCCTCCAGAGCCTCGGCCTCTGCTTGTCATCAGCTTGAATCCCAGCCGGGCTCATGGGCTTGCTCTTGCAGCTTCCAGACCTTTGCTGAGGCTCCTTCCCCACATCCACACAGCCCGGACCTGTAGACCTGCCACGGCCTCCTGGACCCAAGGAGGATGAGGCGGGGACCCAAGGAGGATAAGGCGGGGGCCCACGAGGGAGGCAGGAGGCAGTGCTGGGCCCCGCCAGGCTGGGCAGCACGCGTGTGGGCTGAACCTGCTCCTGCCATTCACCAGGCAATAATAGCAGCTTCTGGGACTCTGTGCCAAGATAGCTCCTACAGCTAAGTCCGAGCACGGAAGGCCCATGCAGCACGATACAGCTTGGTTGGCACGGTCCCTGCCAGGCTACAAACAGCTCAGGGCTTAACTCGAGCTCAGGGGCACACAGCTTGATACCTGCGCCCAGCAGCTCCATGGCAACTGGGCCACGCGGCCCTTCTGGGGACTCTGCAGTAACACGGGAGCATACATGTGTGCATGATGAGCAAAAGCACCCCATCAGAGCCCGTGTTACAACTTGATGCCATTCTGGAAAACACATAAACCGAGCACAGATGAAATGCAAATGCAAAGGGGGCTGGTCCCAGGGCCTAGTGCTTTTTCTTCTGCGTTTCACTTTTCTCCTATTTTTGCTATTTTATATGAACAGGCATGTATTACGAAACAAACAAGATACAAAGAGTAAAAGCCTTTTATATACCTGATACAATCTGATTTTTCTCACAGGAGGTGCAGAGTCAGATGCCTGGGAAGCTCTGGGCCTCCCCAGCAGCCACTAAGACGTCTCCGAAGCCATGAGACTACCTGCTGTCTGCTTTTCTAGGAGTCAGGAGGGCCGGAGCTGGTCTGAGGACCACTGGGACTTCCTTGAGGCTCAACCCGCTGACCCCACAGAGCCTCTGAATGGACAGGAGCGGGCGGACACTCCCTTTTCCACATGCACCCCTCACCTGCACAAGCACACAGTGTGCCAGGGAATGATGAGGCTTTGTGTGTTCTCTGAACGCAAACTATTCTTCCCCAGACAGAGCACACGCTAAACAGACTCATTTGAGGCCCAAATTAACTGCAGTGTCCCACTTTCTTTCTTCCACCCTGTGGTCCCTGCTGACCCAGCTCTGCTCTCCCAGGGAGGGTGGCCACCTCCGGCTGATGTGTTGGGAGAGCTGCCATCTCAGCAGCGACCCTTAATCCTGGGGGCTGGGGACACCAACCTGTCTCGAACCATGGACCCCTCCATCAAGTGCTTCTATGCGGGTGGGAGAAGAGAGGCTGATGCTTGGTGTGAGGAGTGGGGCCTAGAGGGCACTCACTAGCTTTGCTCCTACAACCTCTGGGGTAGGTACCACCATTAGACCCCCTCTGTAGATGGGCAAACTGAGGCTCAGGAGAGCTTCTTCTGCCAGTCTCCTAGCTACCAGGGGCATCCACACCACTGAGCAATCTCAGATGCATGGTCTCTGAGAGGAGCTGGGCAAGGCACAGGGTACCGAGTGTGTGGTCTTTTAACTTGCCAAAGGCTCTGCCACTTAGCAGCTGTGTGGCCCTGATAGGTAGCCCATTCCAGGGCCCCTGGACCCAGCCATGAGGAAAGGAGAGAAAGGCCTCTAGAGAACAAACAGCCACAATGGACTCACCTGCTCTTGCCAACCGTGGGTGGGGGCACCAGGAGAACATGCAAGAGAGAGAGAGAAAAGCCATCAGTCAAATATATAAAGTGTAAGTAGCCCTTCACCTTAACAACAAAAAAATCACAACAGTAGTTAAAAATCCTCCTACGAGTAGTCAAGTACTGAGAAATGTCTGCAGCTTACTTTGAAATTATGCTGCCAAAAAGAAAGAAAAAGCAGACACGCATATAAGTATACCTACATGTGTACGCGTAAGCACGTACGTACACAGACACATGCTGGTACGCGGAGCAAGAGAGCTCATGTGCACGAGCGCGGGATGTAAGTACACCTACGCG